CACCCAGTGACTGCGAGGTTTCAGTCTGATGGTTTGATGCGCATAAGGCCCCCCCCGCTGGGCTGGGACTCCCAGGAGCCCCCGAAAGCGGCGGCAGTTGCGCGGAGAACACCCCTCCGCTGGGCCTCCCAGGAGCCCACGGCACTGAGGACAATTCAGCAGTTCGCAGCCCGTCCCTCCCCCCGAGGGCGCCGCGAGGTCCAATCTGGGTCTGTGTGGGGGGCACGGCTCCACTGGGCCTCCCGGGAGCCACCGGAAGTGGCGACACTTGCGCCGGTCGCAGCCACCCCAGGGCGCCGCGAGCTCTAGTCTGGGTCTGTGTGGGGCACCGCTCCGCTGGGCCTCCCAGGAGCCCACAGAAGTGGCGACAGTTTCGCAATTCGCAGCCCCCAGGGACGGCGAGGTCTCGTTCTGATGCGAGAGAGACATTCCTCCGCTGGGCCTCCGAGGAGCAACGGAGGACAGCTGCGCAGTTCGCAGCCCACCCAGTAACGGAGACGTCTAACTCTGGTGCGCGTAAGACACCCCCCCGCTGGACCCCCTAAGAGCCCACGAAACTGAGGACAGTCCCGCAGTTCACAGCCCCCAGGGACTGCGAGGTCTCACCCTCATGCGCGAGAGACACCCCTCCGCTGGGCTTCCAGGGCTTGATGCGCGTGAGCCAACCCTCCGCTGGACCTCCCAAGAACCTCCTCCCTTCCGACCCCCACCGACCCCCCGAGGCCGAAATTCACCCAAAATGTCCCTGGACCCCTCCCACGCACCAAATGTTCCGAGATCCGTCCAGCTGCGGCAACGAGGGGGTCTCCTTCCGCTGGACCAACCTCCTCCCTTCCGACCCACACCGACCCCCCGAGGCCGAAATCCACTCAAAATGATTCCCTGGACCCCGCCCACGCACCTAATTAGTGTTAAGTCGGGCCTGCCCCCCTACAGGGTGATTTTGGGCGAAAGAATAGAAATACCCCCAAAATCCCTCCAAATCTCCAAAAAAAACAAAACATAGTCCCCAGACGATTTTTTACCATTTTTGAACTTTCCCCCTGTAGAGGGACAGGCCAGACTTATATAAACCAAGTGTTCCGGGATCCGTCCAGCTGCGGCAGCGAGAGGGGTCTCCCACGAAGGACCAGAGGCCTCGACCCTCAAGGCTCGAGGTTCGCACGACGACGACGGGGACGACGACGGCGACGGCGACGACGACGACGGCGACGACGGCGACGACGGCGACGACTTCGACGACGACGTGGACGGCGACGACGACGACGACGACGACGACGACGACGACGACGACGGCGACGGCGACGGCCACGGCCACGGCGACGACGACGACATCAACGACGACGGCGACGGCGAAGGCGACGGCGACGGCGAAGGCGGCGGCGACGAGGGAGGCGGCGACGGCGAAGGCGATGGCGACGGCGGCGAAAAGGGAAGCGGCGGCTGCGGCACCCCTCCTCCTGTCCGTCTCCCCTCCTCCTCCTCCTCCTCCTCCTCCTCCTCCTCCTCCTCCTCCTCCTACTCCTCCTCCTCTTCCTCCTCCTCGTCTTCTCCTCCTCCTCCTCCTCCTCCTCTCTCCCGCTCCTCCTCCTCCTCCTTCCTCCTCCTCATCATCGTCATCAGCAGCAGCATAATCATCATCACCACCACCACCGATACCATCATCATCATCATCATCATCATCATCATCATCATCATCATCATCATCATCATCATCATCATCATCATCAACAACAACAACATACTCATCCTCATCCTCAGCATCATCATCATCATCATCATCATCATCATCATCATCGTCGTCGTCGTCATCATCATCATCATCATCATCATCATCATCATCATCATCATCATCATCATCATCATCATCATCATCATCATCATCATCATCATCATCATCATCATCATCATCATCATCGTCATCGTCGTCAGCATCATCATCAGCACCGTCATCCACACCATCATCATTATCATCAGCATCAGCATCAGCATCAGCATCATCGTCATCAGCATAATCAGCAGCAGCATCATCATCATCATGAGCATCAGCATCATCAGCATCATCAGCATCATCAGCATCATCAGCATTATCACCATCATCAGCATTATCACCATCATCATAATCATCATCATCAGCAGCAGCATCGGCATCATCGTCATCATCATCATCATCAACAGCAGCATCTGCGTCAGCATCAGCATCATTATCATCAGCAGCATCATCATCAGCATCAGCATCATCAGCATCATCAGCATCATCAGCAGCAGCATCATCGCCATCAGCATAATCATCATCAGTATCATCATCAGCATCAGCAGCAGCAGCAGCATCGTCATCATCATCACTATCATCATCATAATCACCAGCATCATCATCATCAGCAGCATCATCACAATCATAATAATCAACACCATCATCATCATCAGCATCAGCGCATCGTCATCATCATCATCCGCATCGTCATCATCCGCATCATCATCATCAGCAGCCTCATCAACAGCATCATCATAATCACCAGCATCATCATCAGCGGCATCATCATCAAATAATCGTCATCCTTAGAATCAGCATCGTCATCATCATCATCAGCATCATCAGCATCAGTGTTGTCATCGACATCATCATCAGCAGTATCATCAGCGTCATCGTCATTATCATACTTATCATCAACATCATCAGCATCATCATCGCCAGCATCATCAGCAGCGGCAGCATCAGCATCATCAGTCTCAGCATCATCAGCAGCATCATCATCGTCATCAGCATCGGCGTCATCATTATCGGCATCAGCGTCATCATCAGCAGCATCATCAACATCATCAGCATCGTCATCATCAGCATCATCAGCATCAGCATTATCATCGCCATCATCACCATCATCATCAGCCGCATCATCATCATAATCAACATCAACATCATCATCAGCAGCAGCACCATGATCACCAGTAGCATCAGCATTCGCGTCATCGTCAGCAGCAGCAGCATCATCATTACCATAATAATTATCAGCATCGTCATCATCAGCATCAGCGTGAGCAGCATCATGATCAGCATCATCATCAGCATCATCATCAGCATCGTCAGCAGCAGCATCAGCAGCATCATCGGCATCATCATGCTCAGCATCATCAGCAGCAGCATCATCAGCATCATCAGCATCATCAGCATCATCAGCATAATCATCATCATCAGCAACATCAGCATCAGCATCATCAGCAGCATCATCAGCCGCAGCATCATCATCAGCAGCATCATCATCAATCCCTTACCCTTGTAGATAACTATTCCCTGTCGCACCCCCAGGCCAGCCGAAAGGGCGGGCCAGGCGTTTCACATGAGACTTCCTCATCCTGAGGCTTGAATTGTGAAACAGTGTCACGGATAGAAGGCGGTCCGCTTTCAACATGTGGCTCTCGCCTTAGCACGGCCGTACTTTCGTCGTCAATGTTGCAAGAGCTTCACGGATGGAAAGCGATTCTCTTTCACAATGTGGCTCTCGAATTAGCGCCGCGCACATTCGTCTTCAAGTTTGCAGGAGCTTCACAGACGGAGGGCGGTTCCTTTTCACCTTGTGGCTCCCGCCTTAGCGCAGCGCACATTCGCATTCAGAGTTTGCAACAGTTTCACGGATTATCATGGCTAACTTCCCAATAATGCAGTTGGCACGATGTCGAAATGTGAGGGCGCGACAGTCACGTTGATTCACCTTGTTGAAGTCCCAGGAATGGTGTTCTGGCAAGATTCAGGATCGTCCAGAAACAGCAGTAACGGCGATTCGCGGGGATACAATCCAAGGAATCGTGTTCTGGCACAACTCTGGATGTTCCAACGGTCGCATTCCAAAAGGATAATTCCATTGGTACAAGTGAATGCGTGTAGGAGCCTATTGAGAGGGAACTTGGAGGGAGAGCTCATTGCAATATCGTTGATGAGTCTTGGGTTTTCCTCCTCCTCCATCCCTCCCTCCCTCCTCCTGCTCCTCCTCCTCCTTCTCCTCCTTAACGTCCTCCTCCTCCTCCTCGAGACATCTTCACAGTCTGCTCTGAAAGCAAAGGAGTCTGGAACAACAAGAGAGCAAACAGCTCGAGGCATCCCCACAGCCTGGCCACCTGGCCGCGAGCGGGCCTGTGCAAACCCCCTTCGTGTGCCGAAGCCTGCGCCTTGCTCGAGGCATCCTCACAATCTGCTCTGAAAGCATGAAGGGCAACGATACGCCTTGGTCGGAAGAAGTAAGTGGAAACATGAAGCCACTCGATCATTCAAGTAGAAAGGCACTTAAGATATACTGGAATCTGGTAATCCAGGACATCTACTTTTCAACGACCGATGGGCAGGGGGGGACTGGCCCAGGGAGGGACACCGCGACTTGGAGTCGGCGATACCTCGCCGCTAGATCGGCGAGAGGCCTCAGACCATGACTCCGCACCTTCCTGGGCAGGTTGGGGCTACCGGGCCCCTGTCGTAGCAGGCTTGGAAATCGGCACCAACACGAACACCAGGGCCTGCCTCATTCGGAGGAAACGGATCCTAGATTTTGGTGTTCGTGGTAATATTACGGCCGCCTTGGAAGCCCGAATATTACCACCATCGCCGAGATCCGGATCATCTACATTCTGTGGAGACACACCGAGGTTATTGGTGTTGGTGTCAACCTCTAGGCCTCCGATATCGGCGATCAATGGGCGATTGGAGGTCGCCCCCCCTGTGCCTATCCCCCCCGATTTGGATGCTCACTCTGGGAATCTTCCTGGGGACGCCCGCACCACTCGTGCCTCGAAGCTGCGTCAAACGACCGTCGACTTGAGTCGACCCTGGGTCGAACCAGAGCCGAACCCGAGTCGGACTTGAGTCGGATTTGAGTCGAACTTGAGTCGAACTTGAGCCGACCTGGGGGTCGAACTAGGGTCGAACAGATCCGTCAGGTGGGCCCCTGGAAGGCTCCCCAAAACGAGCAGCTGACCCTATCGTTGCCCCTGGGAGCAGACGAGTCTGGGCAGTC